CTTGGGCAAGAGCCTCTGCTTCCTTGTTTATAAAATATGACAATAATAACACCTTGCACAGTTGGCCAGAGGATTACATAAGATAATGCATATCAGATGTTTAGTAAAGACAATTACCTAGCATGTGGTTAGTACTCATAAATTGGCTATGGTTATAATTTTTGTTATGGTTACAAGTCGTATTATTTCTTCTCTCTCCACTTCACCTTCAAAGAGAGCTAAGGAAACCCCTAGGGAATTGTTGATCTTCCAAAGTATAGTAAAGACTATGCCTGAAAAATTGTATTAAAACTCTGTAGGGCACTGACATTCTTACCACTTTAAAGAGCTCTGGGATGGCTTAGTGGTTAAGGGGCACACACTGGTCATGGTGCCTGTGTTTGAATCCTAGCTGTGTCATTTATTGACTGTGAGTTCTTGGAGAAGTTGCTTAATCTCTCCTTCCTTTAGTTTCTCCATTTGTAACATGGGATTAATAACAGCACCTACGTTCATAGGGTTATTATGAAATAAATGATTTGGAGTAGTGCTTGATGAATTGAAGTTCTCGATGTGCATTAGCTGTTTTATGATTTTGTATATAGAAAAAGCAGCTTTTCACATCTTTAAAGGATAGGAAGGTCTTTCTAGTTGTAATTAGGCATTTACCGCTTCCTACCGTTTTGGTAAAGGCTTCTGGTGAGAGCAACTCTTGGGCTTACCGAGTCCATGTTTCCTTGCAAATGGGACGTACAGAGGTTTTAAGAGCTGCGGTTGTTATAGCTGCCTGCATACCAGTAACACGGTCTTCCTACATTTCTCAAGTCGTGTAAAGGCCCAGTTAAGCTGGCAGAATTTTTGGAAGCCTTAAAAACCATATGATGTGCTGTGGTATTATGGAACTCAGCATAAAGGAATGAACTGCTTCTCAAGTTTATGTAGGCCGTGCCTCGGTCCCTGTTGTACTATCTTCCCTGATCCCTTTCCAACTCAGTCCCTTGCCAAAACCATAGCAACCCTCCTCTCATATCCAGTTAGGGATGTTATCTAGAGTGGCAAAAAGGGAGGGGAGGGAGAGTGTAATTTTATCTTTCTTTCCGTCTTGTGCCCTTAATGTCTTTTGAGGGCCTTTTGGCCTCTTACAACCTAGAGTGCCTACCTCTGAAACACCGTAAGGTTTCATGAGTATCCAGCTCCTTTTAGCAGGTAGGTGGCCAATACCAGTTACATCCTTATTAGCTTACCAGTCAGGGCAAAATGAGCCTTTGCCTTCCAGAAGTCTGACCTACCACAGGGAAAGGAGGTCACAACCCTTTACCTACCTGAGCCTAGTCACAGAGTGCCTGAATGAGGGCCCTGAGCCAGGAGAAAGAGTCAAGAACTCCCAGAGAGACGGAGTTGGGTGACAGAAGTTGTTACTCACTGTAAAGACATCACACCAGGTGTTAGATAGAGTGCAGGGTCTGAGGTAAAGCCTCTTTAAATGGCATATTCAAAGACAATGTTCATTCTTTAGCATTATGGGCCTGCTATCACTTTTTCGTCAACTTTTTAATTTGAAAAATTTCAAACCTCAGTAAAGACTATCTTTTCCTAGATTCACCAATTATTACACTTAGCCACACTTGCTTTATCTCTATATATCTATTTGCTCATATCTCTGTAGATTATCTATCGGAATAATATCTATCTCTATATATCCATGTAATTTCTCTCTTTAATATACCTGTGAAATTTGTCTCTCCCTCGGTAGATAGATTGATATATTTTCTTTTTGGCCAAATCTTTTGAAAGTAAGTTGTAGATAATTTGACATTTTACTCCAGATACTTCAGCATGCATGAGAGGCAGCTTCTAGCCCAAAGAACCAAAGGAAGCACAGGAAGAACCAGCCAGGGCAGGTTTAAAATCCTGTCTCTTAAGTTGGGTAGTCTCTGGTACAATTCACTCCAATTCTATTTGAACCTCCTTTTCATTCTCTACCCTGAGTTTTGTGTTCAAGGGTCTTTGAAGCAGTGGAGGATGCTGACAGATACCAAACAATTAAGTAAAAAATGTAATTACTGGTAGGATCCACTTCTGACTTCCCCCTCTGTTTCAGGTGTATCTCTGCCTCTTTATGGGCAGCATTTGCAGACCCAAGATATTTGTGACTTGAGGACTATGTGTCTGTGTGATTTGAGGGTGCAGCCCTGCTTATCCTCCCCTGTGTCTATGGCCTGGCCATGAAAATCTTCAGTATCAGGCGGTTTAAAGAAGGTGCCTGGCTGGCTCAGTTGGTAGAGCATGTGACTCTTGATCTTGGGGTTGTGAGTTTGAGCCTCATGTTGGGTGTAGAGATTACTTAAAAATAAAATCTTTTTTTTTTTTTTTTAATTTTTTATTTATTAGAGAGAGACACAGTGAGAGA